TACAACGTGGCGTTATTCACGCGCGTGAAAGCACCACGCCGACGAGCCATTTAACGCGCGTTATAACGCTTTCTGTTTGACAGAGCCTTAAATGTCTAAAATAGTTATATTATTATATTATAGTACACTAAACCTGAGTAACCCTGTTGTTGAGGGTAGTTTATTGAAGATCACAGGAGTAGAGTAGTACGAGTTGAAACAATATTGATTTATTATAATTTATCTATTAGATAGATTATTATGCTTTAACATGTATCTAAATATGACTGCAGACCGATATACTACTCTCTACTTCTCGATTCTAACTTGACTGACAATGAATTACGTAATTTTTGCCACGCCTCTGCGTTCATCGATCACGGCAAAGGTAATGCAGGGATTTATGCAACAACTAGACTATAATATTATATAACAACAATATTTCATGAAAGAAACGATTTGGTTTTATTTATTTTAAGCGTCACTACGCATGGAGGTGATAATATGATTATGAGATGTCCTAACCAAAAGTTTATGTTTTGTAAGGAACGACGACCGTGGTATAGATTTCAATGCCTGTGCATGGTATACGCGCTTGAAATGTGCGCACAGCACTTTTTGGGATTTCCACTTTGCCGCCCGGCACTATTAGGGATTCCCACTTTACCGCCCGAAAAAGGACGCTTTCCAACGCTTCAACCGCTATCGAAAACAGAATGTTCGGTGCAGGCGTGACAAAAGTTATATATGCGCCAGTGCTCCACGTTCCTGTGTTCTGACTTCTGTTATCCTAAGCAAATTCATGTGACGACATAAACGACGAGTCAGTAATCTGTGTATCGTTCATAGGCGCAAATTGGGGGGGGGCTTAGAGGGTGCTGAGCCCCCCCTCCCCAAAAAAAAACCTAGGATATACAATTTTAATATGCTATATTGCAATGGTCTGCTTGCCTTTAATATATTCAGCCCCCCCAAGCCGAAAGTTGAAATTGAGCCTATGGTTACAGCCTATCGTTACAGCCAGACTGAAATCTATGCCACTGTCCTTACAAAACATAAACTTTTGGTTAAAATCTTACATTCATATTATAACCTCCTTGCATGACGCGTAAATAGTTATTTTTCATGAAATTGTTTTCGTAGAATAATCTGATTGTCGCATAGATCCCGGCCTGCATAGTAGGTACATTACCTAACCTTTGCCGTGATTACATTTTTTTTATTATTATTTTATTTTAATATAACAATTATTATTTATACTGGGGGACGGAGTGGCCGAGCCTTCAAGGCGTCGGTTACAATGCCCCCCCATCGGTCACGGGCTGCACTTCTCTCTGTGCAGACATCTGTTTGGAGATAGACGGCGCCATCCCCCGACCGGGCATGGCACTATGGCATATACCAACGGATGCCAAAAACAAACACACACGTGTAAACAAATCTACAGTACCACAGGCTAATGACATAAGTAGTTGAAGCCTTATAAAAAAACCCAAATAAAAAAAAAAATAAATATTTTTACTGAAATCTATACCACGGTCCTTACAAAACATAAACTTTTGGTTAGGTACATCTTATTATAATCTCCATACATGAATAATACCGAATTTAATCGTTTCTTTCATGAAATATTGTTTTCGTAGAATTATAGTCTGATAAGTCTGATTGTTGCATAGATCCCTGCATAACATTTGCAGTGATCGATGAACGCAGAGGCGTGACAAGACAAAAAATGTATGTGCGACTCGTGCGGGAAGGCAATTTCAGTCTTGGACCAGCTACTAAAATATCATTTGCTCACTTTTCCCTTGCCACACAGTATACTATTGTCAAAAATTTCCGGTTTTCCATTATGTTTTATTTTCCTAATTATATAAGGAAAAGTTTTGGCCATTTTTTTTTACCAGGATACATTGAAGTTGAAAATCAAAGCATTTTTCTACTATAAATCAAACACACAAACTACACAAGAATTGAAAACAAAACAAAAATCAATAGGTAGGTACACCACAAAACCCATACGGTTATTCATTTTTGATTTTTTTACAGCAAATAAAGACATATTGTTACAATACGAATTTAATATGTGTTTTTAACATTTCCAAGCACACCATTTTAGACGTGAGCTGATAATTGCCTCGAGAAAATCTTGTCTGGCACGCCACCCACTGATATACTTGGCTCGGCGTTGACGATGTAGGGACGGATACATACATAATAATATTATTATTATATTATTCCGACGGCGTCGGGAACCGAATCGTGTGATGGTGCGCGCGCGCGCGGGTGTGCATGTAAGTATATATATGTATTATAGGGGACTACCACCGCACGCCCCGCCCCTACTGACTAAAAGCTATCCAAATCAAACAAACCGACACGAACTCGCAGAAACACGTCATAAATATATACATATAAAACATACAGTCGTAGAATAAGTCGTCGTCGCCTCCACCGCCGCCAGCGTCAGGTGCCCGCGTAACCATGGCGAAAAGTTATTTGCACAAATCCATATTTGTACCTACGCCGCACGGTCGTTTACCCGCACACACATAATATATAATATAATTTATATATACAATATCTACCTATATAATATTTCTGACGAGTTATTTTATTGTCACTCTCGTTATAGTTCAGACAGTTCAGTGCACCGTTGAGTGGTGACAGCATTCGATTCTCGATATAAAATCTCACGGCGAATACAACGTTTGAGATTTTTGGGGGCTAAAGCCCTACTTTAATAATATTGAATAAGCTTATATAACAACATTTAAGAAATGTTTCGGAGGCCATGGACATTCTCAGGGAGGGCTTAGATCCTAAATCCCCCTCTATTTGCGCCCATGCGCGCAGGGTATAGATTCCGATTTTGTAGTATTTTTTTTTTCCGTCCCACCAATATTTAATATAATTATTAGTACTTATTAGGTACTACGCCTAAAACACAGTCAAAATAATATAATACGTATATACTAGCCACTAGGTATGTCGTATATATTATATCATTTTTCCCAACTTTTCAATTCCCGTAGTGTTGTCCCATTCTAAATTAGGTACTTTTTGTTATGAGAATTATTTATTAAACAGTTCTACACTACGAATTATGAGAATAGAGAACGATGATCCATCATTCCTATAAATTATAGGATAAATAAATACCTACTAAACCTGCTGTTGGCTGCAGTCTCTGAAAATTTAAATGTTATTTACGTGTTACTGTTTTGAATATTAAATTTATAAGTAATTTAGTTTTAACATAATTATCCATAACTTGTATTGATCTTGTCCCGTTTTTTAATTAATAAATATTAAAAAAGTCACTAACTCACTTCATGCCTCGGCGTCTGTAAAACGACTACGTCAGATTTACTGCGACCTTATAAATTATGCAGTTTAAAATTTGAAACCATCATATTATTGTTATTTTATTATACATAATTATCCACGTATTAGTGACGTTTAGGTTGAAGTAATGGTGCATCCGAGTTGGGTCCCAAGTGGCAAGTACTAGGTGCTAATCGCGGGTACCTACTACACTAGTTGGGTCTCTAATATTTTTTGGTAAGTACACTATACTAACATTTTCTTTCACATTTTAACAGACTTAGAAGTCTATTCAAACCAAAGCTATGTTTAAAAATAATTTTTGTCACGCCAGCACCGAAAGTTTGGTTTTCCGTCCAGAGGGCGGTAAAGTGAAAATCCCCAAAAGTGCTAGGCGCACAAATCAAGCGAGTATCCCCTGCACAACCAGACACTGAAATCTATATCAGGGTCCTTAACAAAACATAAACTTTTGGTTACATCTTAAATTCACATTATAACCTCTATGTGTGACGCTTTAAATAAATAAAACCAAATTGTTTCTTTCATGAAATATTGTTGTCGTATAATTATGGTCTAGTTTTTGCATAGATCCCTACATTACCTTTGCCGTGATCGATGAATGCAGAGGCTTGACAAAAATTCCTTTGACAATTTTGTTAAAATTTTCTTATGTTCGTTTACCTAGTCTAGTTTGTACTTAAATGTGTGCTGTTATCCATCTGCTTGAAATATGTATATACTGTATATCATTCTATAAAAGCAGTTTTGGCATTGATCTAGTAATTTTAAAAAAACATGTCCAATAATAATACTCTGAAAAACATGATTAACAAAAATTGTGGATGGAGAATAAAAATACAAGACTAGTATACAACTAGCCACACTTAAGAATACTAAATTATTTTTAGAACTATTATATTATTTTTTACTGCCTGCATAGTAGTTAATTTACAGATTTACAGTATAATTATTTCCAAACTATTTAATATTATCAAAGATTAAATAAGTAGATATCTAATAGTGTTATTTAATCTATGGAATAGACAATAGTAACTGAATAAAGTAGTAAGTAAGTTCCAAAATAGGCTCCTTTAATCTTTAACTCCACCAATACTAAGTCAGTGACATCCAAGTAATGATTTGAGTGGTATTGGTATATGAACATTTTTAATTATTTTTTAAAGTGTTATATTTTAAAGGCCAATTTTTTTGGCCAAAAAACAAAATCTTCTGGTTGCTGTTTACCTATACTTTAAACACAATTATTCTACTAAAACTATCAATCTTTACTAGTTTACTGTAAATCTATAATGTTGAAAAACCATTTTAAAATTGGTCTTCTATTTTTGATATTTTATGGACACTGTCCATTTGTCTAGTTTGTCACTTAAACATATTTATTATATGTAAACACATTACATGCAACAACTAATAAGTAGTTACCAATTTTGTAAATGGTTAGATTATGGTTCGCCAGTATTATTAACGACTGTTAAAAGTATAAAAATTGTTTTGTAATTTACTTCATAGTAAATTAACACAATGTATGGATTAATATTATTTATGGTTATAATATAATATATTTCATATGCATTTAAAAATATTTATACATTTACATTATTTAAAAAACAATCTATACCCATAAAATGTATTAAGTAAATATTCGGTTTTGTAATCCTAATAGTTTTATTTTACAGCTTAACTGTAAACTTTTGACCTTTTTTAATTCCATAGTAAATGATTCCGTTTTTCAAGAACGCCCATGCCATTTTAGGAGAAGAAAAACCAATGCCAACCTCCCCAGTTTTGGAAATAACAATAGCCCCAGCACTGCCACCCACACGAGCTGACATACCGTCACATGCTTTCTGAGCTGCAATATCTGGAGTTTCACCTAAATAATATAAAATATAATACAAGTAATTAATATATTTTTTAACTAGTTAGAGATGATAATAATTTATACCATTTTCCAAATTTTGCATTATTCTTTGAGCCAAACAATAGCGCATTATGCTATCACCGTGGCCAGTGGTTGAAACAGTGCCCACGGTATTATCACAGTAACCACCAGCACCAGGAACTGGTGTATCACCCACCCTACCAGCCATTTTACCGGTGATTCCTCCTGTCGAAGTACACGACACCATATGCCCGCTGTTTCCATCCATACCAATAGCACCAACAGTGCCCACACCTCCACTAAAAAAATATAATATATATTTTGTTACACAGAAAATGACTGTTTATAGACTTATATTATTACTGTCCAATTTCTGTAGTATTGGGTTCACCACCCAATTTCAAAAAATTGTCCAAGCCTGTTCTTGCATCACTTGTTATGAGATAATCGTCACTGACAGTTTCAAATCCCATTTTTTGAGCAAACTCATTTGCACTTGCACCCATCAAAAATACATGAGGTGTATTTTCCATAACTTTTCTAGCTAGCGCTATTGGATGTGCAATGTTTCTTACACCAGTAACACTTCCTATAATCAAACAAAAATAAATTTTAAAATTTAGCACTCGATTTAGCATAAATGCATAATATTATAATATAATATGTATAAGAACGGAACATTTCTTACCAGCCTTCATGTCTTTTCCTTCCATAATAAGAGCTTCCATTTCGATTTCGCCCTTTAGATTTAACACCGATCCACGTCCTGCATTGAATGCTGGTTCATCTTCCATATACTCAACAGCGACTTGACATGCATCTATAATAGATGATGTTTTTGTATAGGTTTCATGAGCTTTTCTGATGGCGGTTAAAATTCCATCAAACTTTGGTTGGTCACGGTTGTCCGGTATATTTCCTGCTCCACCGTGCAGAACAATCACTGGTTCAGACATTATATTTGGATAAGATAATAATCTTAAATACAATCAACAGCATCAACACAAAACGTTAAAAGCTAGATTTAGAACCAACTACCTGCCTAATATTAATTTAATATAGGTGTAATGTAATGGTGTTTTTGTAAAATAGATCAAATCATAATTTCATAATTCATATTACTATTAGTACGTACTACGTATACAGTAATCTATTTACTGTTTACTAAATAGTAAATACCTACTAATAAATAATAATCACTATTTATTTAGTAAAATAATACAATTTAGATAGGTAGTCATTTAATTATTTTAATAAGTGGTTTTATCTCTTATCAATTAAACTGTGCCCTGTGGAAATGTGGAATAGATTATTAGCTTATAATATAGAGTATAGACTATTGGTATAGACATAAACATTATAATATTAAAAATTAAGAAATATCTTTAATATGCATATAGATTATAGTAGGTACACTATATAGATTATAGCTATACCATGCTATACATATATTATAATACTAAATTACCGATACGAGAAGAAGAAGATAGTAGGTAGACTAAGGGCCGTTCTTACAATGTCCGGTAAAGTGTCGGTTAACGCTAACCGACTGATTACAGATTTTATTACCGGCAGAATTCTTCCGGTTAAGTGTCGGTTAACTTTAACCGGACGTCGTAAGAACGGCCCTAAGTTATTTATATTATATTACTTTTATCATGATATAAACTACATTGTATGATCGCGAAAGTCCAGATTTGGTCCAAGTCCGCTCAGTACGTCACTTGCTAACCCGTATTATCATATTGTCTTTAAATTATTACTACTATACACTGCACGACGACACGTGCTTACCGAAGGATCTGACTGTCAAAAAGTTACGATCATACATTCATACCTTGTTTTTATTTCATGACTTTTATATTTTTTCAAATATTATACTCATAGGCAAAGGTTATACACTTAAACATACCTGATAGTTAATACAGTGATGCGTTTAGAAGTTTTAAAATTCTAGTCGAAGTATTACAGTATACTAATACCATAGTAGTATAGATATAGTACTATACTACATTACTACCTATGCCAAAGCACTTTAATGGTAAAATCACTGAATATAGGTATATTAAATAACTTAAATAGGTACCTACTTATGGAGTTATGGCTAATCAACCTTAAATCTATTATGTGTAGTGTGTAGGTACCTGTAGACTATGAATTATGATTGTTATGATGATTAAATAAAATATGTTTTGAATCAATATAGGGAAAGGGAACATTTCAATAAGTACCTATCTATCTAAATAAAACCAATAAATTTTACCTTGACAGCTTGTTAATATAATATATTACCTAGTCAATATTTAGTCATTTTAGAATAAAAAATCTAATTGAACATATTTTGTACAAAATAATGAATGTCTTTAATATTGTCGTCTTGATTTTTGAATTTTGTGGCAACTATTATAGCCATTACTCATTACATACCTACCTATCTAGAAGGTTAAAACATTTATTTGCATATATTATACAATATGTACAAATAATTGTATTTTGCACAAGCCTACAGTAACAGAATTGCTGAAAAATATCACGCACCCAACAGGGGCGGATCCAGAGTTAGGAAACTGTGGGTCAGGAAATTTCAAGGGGCCACTTATTAAAACCAAATTAGAAATCTATACTTGTGTACTAGGTATATAAAACCAAAAAAAGGTGCTCCGCTGTACAGTGGGTTACAAGTGGGTCACTGTATAATGGATAGTATTAAATTTGAATTCAATGATATAATATCATTGTATAAGAAAAACGATTCTGAGCGGAGACGGTATGTCAGTCTAGGTATAAGGCATATTATTTTCTTATCTATCGTATTAAAAAAATTTACCTATAATAAATTCCAAATTAATCATATCCCAATATCCATTAGGTACATCAACAACAAACCCTGATACTATCATAGTCCATACTCCATAGGTATATAATAGTGTACTTTAGAAGTTTCAAGTACCCACGAATAATATTACACAATCACAAAAAAATAACTAAAATAGTTATTCTAGGTTTTTTTTTATGTAATTTTATCCAAAGTTGAACTTAAAATGACTATAAAAATAAACTGTGCATATGTATTTTTTAGATTTTTTGGTAACAGAATTAACTACAATGGTGAAATCATGTTTTAAATTTTCAATCCTTAGATATAAAAGTTGAACATTTTATACATTTTTAACTACAAAATTGTTTTTTACAAAAAATTTTAAATTTGATAAATTTTGTCAAAATTCGATCTTTAAATGCTTATAAAAAAAATTGTGCAGCCTATGTATTTTTAATATTTTTCAACTGATATTGTAACAATATATCAGGAGCCTTATATTAAATTTTTACACTTTTTGGCATAACAGATAAAACTTTATTGATATTTATAGAAAAAAAAACTAAAAAAATTGAAAACTGAAAATGTCCGTAAACAGCTCAAAAAGTGTCAAAATATTTTTGCTGTAAACCTAACCTGCTGTACATTAGGTTACAACTTACAAGTGGGGGTCGCTGTAATGGATGGTATTAAATTTGAATTTATAATTATATATAATATCATTGTATAAGAAAAACAATTATTTTCAAAATTGTACATTGTATAGGAAATGCTAATATGAATACTCAGTGAAATTTTCATTTATCTACAGTTATTTGTTTTTGAATTACAACAAAATAAGGAAATCGCTACATGAGAAATCGAATGAATATCCAATGTTGTAAAAATTTGAATTTCACACGCTCATAAAAATTTAATTTAACTTTCCGATAGAGATTTTTTTATTGATAAAGGTAGACAAACTTATGAGTAATCTTGTATTACATTTTCAAATCTTAGATTTAAAAAAGAAAAACTTTTACGAATTCTTAACTCAAAATAATTTTCTATATTTCGTGATTTTTCCATATTTTGTCAATTTTTGAACTTTAAATGTTTATAAAAGAAAATTGTGACTAACTATTTTTAATATTTTTCATCTGCCTTTAAACAATATACTAGGAGCCTTATAATACATTTTCAAGCTTTCTAAGCTAACAAATAAAATTTTATTGATATTTTTAGAATAAAAACTAAAAAAAAAATGGAAAATGAAAATGTCCCTAAACAGTTCAAAACAAATCATAATATTTTAAAAATTTTATCGTGTATAGAAAATGCAAATATAAGCAACCAGTGAAAATTTCATGTATTTACGTTCATTTGTTTTAGAGTTACACCAAAAACCAAAATCGATTTTTTGGAAAACAGATTTTGAGTAAAAATTTCCGTTATTCCTTAATTTCCTCCCGAATGCACCAACTAGATTCACTTTCCAATCGAACAAGATACTGAAGTTGAAAATCGAAGCATTATTTCGACTACCTATCGTGTACACAGACACAAAAATAAATCAAAAAAATTTAAAAAAAAAACACACATTGTAAAATCAATACATTCATCGTTCCACTCAGAATCTAAAATTCATTTATACTATATGTGTGTTTATTTAAGTGTCCAACTACTCAAGATCTGAAAAGAGGCCAATTTGATCAGAAAATATTAACTGTGGGTCAGCTGACCTCCTGAACCCTCCCCTAGATCCGCCCCTGGCACCCAATATCCTTATGGCTTAATAAATAAATAGGAACGTCTTCTAGAAGTGTTCATTTAAGTGCTAACACCTTTTAAGTTTTGGTACCTACTTGACTAGTTCAAATTTTGAGTTCATGCAGTTTTTAAAACATTGAATGAGTTACCACACTAGTAGTCTATAGTTCCTATACGGCTATACGCCTATACCATATAGGTAGCAGGCGCAATGTCAGTTTTTGACTTGGAGAATGGATGGGCTTTACATATTTAAATGAAACAGACCCGTGAGTGGCTTAGCTAGATAAGAAAGGGCCCCGGGGCAGTAAAAAAACTTACCAGCCATCTTAACGAATAGGTATTATCTTTGTGAAAATTCAAAATATACAAGTAATATTATGAGACCCCAGGGCACTGCTCTGCCCCCCCCCCCACTACTGTTTCTCAAATACCAACCTTTGAAATACATGATCTGCTTTATAAAATTATTTATTCATAATTTTTTTCTTACCCACATTCCTACATTTAATATACCTATTATAATTATACATCTAAGATCTACCTATCACTAAAATGAAAACTATTTTTATTAAAACAAATTACAACATTTAGGGTACCGTCTGGCCTCTTATAATATATAAATATTATAGATGTAAGTAGTAACCGTCGATTCGAAATTGCAAATGTGTAAAAAAACACTACAATCGAGCTGGTGCCTCTACCGACTATATTCTAGATCAGCGATTCCCATCCCATGGGCCGCGGAAAATGTGGTAATGGGCAGTGAACGCTGGTCGGGTCTAACCCAAGGGTCAACAATTTCAATTAGCATTTAGCATCATGTATCAACATCGAGATTTTTTATATGATTTAATACAATATTTCTTTGTATTTATATTTTCTACTTGTATATTAATATTAGGAGGTAAGTAGGCCTCAAATATTTTTTTTACAAAACTGAAATAACCGCATAACTAAAAAGGTTGAGAACCGCTATTCTAGACAAATTGAAAAGTTATTAGTAAATACTAAATAGTAATGCAGGCGCGTAGCTAGGGGGCGTGTTACTGGTGTACTGACACCTCCACCAGACCATGTTATACTTATGTCTTATAATTTATATTTATAAAGGTAAAGATTCATCATAAACCGCGATGTACACTGTACATACTACATAATATTTTTTTTTTTTATTAGGGTTAAGCCTTCGAATATTTGGGTCATTAGCATGTGGTACTGTAGGTTGTTACTTGTTACACGTGTGTTTTGGCAGAATTTCTAATGGGGCACCCGTAGGTTTTTGCCATGCCCCGGGTGGGGAATGGCGGCACTTGTTCTACGGACACCGTGACTTGCCCGAAGAATAATGCCTCCCGCGGCCGGTATCGAACCTGGGACGGTTGCTTCGCAGCCGACGCCTTGGTCCGCTCGGCCACCCCGTCTCCGCTACATAATATTATGTATAGGCATAAATAGTGTTTGAAATTTGGGGAGTAGTTGTAACCACGGACGAAATAATAGATACACCAGCTTTAAAAAATCGTAGCATTTAGTTAATTAAAAAAATATGTTTCTTTAATAATCATTATAAATAAGAGACAAAATGTACATTTTAAATTTAATATTTTCTCATAAATAGTTCCTAGAGCCACCCCCCCCCACCTATTTTCTCCTGTCTCAAAAGGAAATCATTCCCAAATTACCAATTTATCGATTACAAGAAAACAATTAAAATATTTTTAACTTCACCATATTGCGTTCTAATATTATAGCTCCAAAAAATATTTCAGTTTATTAATAATATAGCTCTCAGAATGAACAAAAAACAAAAACATAATACCAAGTTGTAGAGAAGATTATATTCTTTAGCATAAGACTTTTTGTCAAATTCAAATTTAACCCTAAACGAGGTCTTAAAATACTTTTACGTAAGTTTAAATATGAATTAATAATTAATAGGTTATACTAACACTGTGGCAGTGTAGCACCATTATCATTTGGTAATTTAAAATTTAACAAGTACCCAGGTACGTACCTAACAGATAACGTTAACACAATTTTCTGCAGTCATTAATGAATTTTTGAACAGTTGCACTATCTATTAAAACCAACAGACATCCACGAGTCACGACTGCCAGTGTCTGCCACCCACATTCATTACCAAATATAATTTATTCATGCTTGAAAATATCTGTTTGTTGACAACCAAGCAAATATAACCCATTTACGGCTAGGGGACAATGTTGTTGGTTAAATTCAGAACAGCACATATTATAATAGACGGCCGGCAGTCGACAGATCCTGGTAACTAGTAGCACAGATCATATAAAACATAATATTAACACAAGAATATTAAACATTGGTGGTTAGTGGATAATTTATAACTTAAATTCCCTGAATTTAATTCTCCATTCCTAATGTCAAAATAATAGTTTTGTTTTCCCATATTTTTTACAACTCGTATTTCATACTTCAGTGGAGTAACCTTTTTCCTTTTCAAACATTATACTGTTTCTGCTTGTATTACTACAATGTTTTTCAACATGTGTATTTCTCTGAATCCAATCCTTATAATACCAATGAGGCAAAGAGCATTCTTTTTACTTCTCTAATTGAGGATTAAATATTAATAACAGCAGATAAGACTGTTGTGTATCAAAAATATTATTAACCCATAAGTGGTATGGTCTGGTTCCATAGACGCTGCAGTATTTTGTTTTGGTTTACTTCTTAAAATGTCTAAAAATATGGTCTTAATATAATTAACAAAACTAAGTAATCCAGGAGACCGCACCATACTATAAGCGTAATTTTAATTTACGGGTTAAAAAGATTTTTATCATTAATCACTTGCTATCTAAATACAATTTGATAAAAATGTGTTTTAAAATATAAACCTATGATGTAGGTATCTTCTAAATTATTGTAACAGAGGAAAATTACAAAATATGGACAAAATTATAAAATACACGGTAAAATATTAACAATTTATCATTTTATACTTATTTATTATCAAAGACAAAGTGTTTACAAGTTTATTCTTCGGTTCCGTCAACATTTTCCGTACCCAATTTTTTGAATGTAGGTACATTCACCCAGGTAACCAAAGTGTATAACTTGTGTGGTGAATCTTCATCGTCATTTCGTCTCCTTGCTAATTGCACACGAATGCGGAATGGTACACTCCTATAAATTTAATTACACAAATATTATAGAAAATAAATTAGCAAGTATCAACTATGTAATATTATTAATAATTCAACTAAATTATTTAAGTAGAAACAAAATATGTATGAATTAATAGTATAATATAATTATATTAAACTATTTTTAATTCATTTACACATAAAAAGTAACAGAAATATAACATCAACTGAAATAATAGGTTATGGAACTGTAATTTCTGAAATTGAAACAATTTATGTTATGATTAAACTTAAACAACATTTTAGATTCTGAGCGGAGCGATGGATGTATTGATTTTATAATGATGAGTTTTTTTTGTGTTGGTACAATTTGTATAGGTAGCTAAGGATTGAAATTTTAAACAAGGTTCCACATAAGTAGGTTATTAAGTAAGTAGTCATCTATTTACCCACCTTTTTAACTATGGACTTTTATAATATAAGATAGTTTTAGAATATTATAATCCTAGTACACATATAAAATAATAGACATATTTAAAATGTTGTCTAGAAAAGTTTTTTTTTTATATAATATTCAAAGTAGTTAAAATTTAATAAAAAATTAGGTTCTTACATAAATTTAGTTACAGTGGTTCTATTTTACCTAAACATATTAGGTATGTCAATAATTATTTTAAAAAAATATTAGATTTTTGTGGTGAATACCAAAAATAAAAAAAAAACAAAACCAAACATTATCCATCAAAGCATAACATTTAATTAGTTACTAGCAACATTACCTGAGTACATACTCGCTACATTTAATTCCGATTTTTTTTTTATTAACTAGACAGTACCTTAGGTTAAGAAGAAAAATATTAATAGTACAGAATCTATTTAATATTTATACTTTTATGTTTTGTTTGAATCTACACCAAAAAATATCTGTTAGAATCAGTTGTTAAAAACATATTACCTAGGTGACATTGATAACATAATAGAGATATAACATTCATACTGTATAGATTTTTATTAGAGTTGGTCGGATACTTTAATGAGACAAAACCAATAGTTAATAATATGATACAAATAAACTAACGAATGAAAATATTTTACACACCTGATTCCTTTGGACCAGACGAACTTGTTCAACCTAGTGTCGATGCGCACATCTTGTGTGCCCATTTGTTGGGTGGCGAATTTGCGGATTTCTTTGATCGCACGAGGGGCTCGCTTCTTGAAACCAATGTTCAAAAGCCTCTTGTGCATGTTGATGGTGTACACACGAGTAACCACCTCATTGATCGCCGATTTACGTTTTCGTTCCCTAGTTAATTTGGCCATCTTAAGATTTCGTCTGCAAGACTGCAACAGAACAACGCATTGATGTCATTAATAACAATATGGTACCCTTCTCACCGATCATCGATCAAATCAATATGTTTGGACGATGGTTCGACAAGAATCGGTATTAAATCCTTAATGAATACAATTTTAACATAAAAAAAAAAAGTTATTTATTTCGAATAAATCAAAAAAGTTCAAAAGCATATAGGTATTTATTATATTACCCTAAACACTTCTCAGCAATAAGTAAGTTAAATTGAAGTTTTAGTAGAAGGATTGAGTTGGATAAAAATTTAACTTACCCGAGTCAGACGAGACAGAACGAAGAATTATTTGCTAAAGAGACGAATTGTTTACAAAAATCTTTGTACATTAACCTACAATATTGATTACCACATTTTACAAGCACGTCAACGATACAAAAATAAGTACGGTCACACTGAAACTACTGATAACAGTAAATTCTCAGTTGATAAGCCCGTTGGTCCCCGATACTCCTATCACTACTATCATCACACATGACCATATTATTTGTTATTTGATCTAAGCCCGCCAACCCTTGGCCAAGGTTTAACTACGACTTAAGATCTATCTTAAATCGTTTAATTTAAATTCTTAAGTTTCTTAACTAGGTACTTTAACTTCAAATTTGATTTTTGACGCTGGTTTCACAGCAACTGGTGTATGAATTATGTTAGTTAAAAATAATAATAATAATATAGTTCTATACGTTTTCTCTGTAACTAGAATGATATGTATTATTCAAATATAAATGTGATTCCAATATAATATAGTATACCTATATTATGGAGGTTGATGGTAATGATTCGTTTGAAGAGAAGTATCTTCTAGTCGCTAAAGCCGACAATGTGAAACACATTTCTTCTTTGTTGAAGGCAGTTAATTTTAAAGACGTGAGTGGTTCTCTATTTTAATATATAATACCTATTAATCTTAACCTCTTCCTTCTGGCTTCTATCAATCTAATTTATGACTTCAATCAATAACTATTACTCCTCTATAAAATCGTTTATTTATTTAACAAACACAAAGAACAGAATACATTGAATTAACTTTGAAGTTTAAGTGCTTGTATAATTAATTAGTTGGTGACCAAATATTACAATTCTATTGAGCTGGCGAATCATTCTATGTATGGAGGCGTTGAAAACGTCTAAGTTCTAACCATAGAAGAAAAAAAAACTAAAAAGTAATTGGTAATGAGATAGCCTAGGACACAGAATGAGATTGATCTGAGGTCACAATGATAGGAAATAGGAAAATGCGATAGTTGCTTCCGCAACAGTGTACTGTTACTGTATAAACTCTATGATAGTTATATTAAAAACTACTTTGTAACGTTAAATAACAAGAACATGCTGTTTTCAGGTTGGTGTGTGTTTTGCAACCGAACATGGTTTAAAAATTGTGGTAGAAGATTCCAAATGTGTACAAGCAAACACTTTTATAGGCAGCGAAATATTTCAAGTATGTTGTAAATGTATTTTGTCTTATGTATAAAAATCGATAATATTAAATTGAATTTCTTTTATAGGAATATCACCTTAATGATGATACGGTTGCCTTTCGTGTTGATCTCAATACTTTGATCGAATGTCTCACAATATTTGATGGGTGTTCAACTAATCCTAGTTCCACAACTGCTTTAAAGTTAACATACAAAGAATATGGTTCTCCAGTAAAATTATTGTACCTAATTGTCTATAAAATAAAATAAATTAGCAATTATTAATTTGTATTTTAATCTTAGGTTAGAAGAAGGCGGTATCATTACCGACTGCTCGTTGAGAACAATGGAAGTATTTGATATATTAGACTTCAGTATACCGGCAGAATCGACTACCAGTAAAATTATATTAAGGTCCTCAGATTTTAAGGACATCCTCAGTGACATAGATAGCACATCTGATTACGTAGAATTTACATTTTCTGAAGAACCACAGTTTTTTAAGATCTTAACTTCTGGAATTGCAGGAAAATGTAGTGTAAGTACCAAAATACCGAAGAATATTGATTGTTGTAAGCAGTCAAATGTTTGTTTTTTAAGGTTGAGATACCGTCTAAAAGTGAAATAATGGAGCAGTTTCTTTGCAACACGTCAATTACTGTAAAATATAAATATAAACAGATTAAACCTTTTTTAAAATGCATGAATATATCACAAAAAACATTGATACGGACAAATGAGGAAGGATTGTTGTGCTGTCAATTCATGGTGCAAGTAGACAGCCATACTTGTTATTTAGAATATTTTGTGAGTACTGCTGTATTTATACCATCATACATTAATTATCATTTATTATGACTAAATAATACAGTGGTGTAGACAGGGGGGCTGCAGCCCCCTCCCACCAAAATGTTTGGAAAATTAAAAAATTATTTTAATGGTCTATGATAGTTGCTCAAAAAATCTTAAATTGTATTTTAAATATTAAAAAATTTTGTATAAGTATTAACACTTTACAGCTGTCTATCTGTGCTAGTACGTTTTTAATGTGTAAAAGTGTAAAAGTTATCACCCCCCTCCATACTGAAGAAAAATCCTGGCTATGCCACTGAAATAATAAGACCTAATTAAAAATAGCTCACAAATTACTAATTTTAAAACTGAATAGTATAGGAGATACTTGATAGTTAATAATTGACTTTAGATATTTAGATAGTAAGTTTTATCTTAATTATTCCAATATTTTGTTTCAGTGCACACCTATTGTTGATGAAGACTGATGACTGATGCATCAACTATAAACACAAAACATATTTTGTCATTTCATACATAACTATTGATTATTACTCAATTTTATCATAATATATTAAATTACAATTATTACAACATAAAAAAACTAATGAACAATTTAAAAGTTTGCCATATTGATATTTCTATGAAAATTGATAAGTGTAGATTATTGTTGTTGTTGTACATTTAAATAAAAATAAAAAATATATTTTATATTTTGTTCCATGAAAAATCTAAATGTTTTTTCTTAATACAAAAACATTTTGTATTAATAGCATGAATTCTAAATACTAATGTGTTCATTTTTATTTTTTATTGTCATTTGATGCCTGCTGGTGAATAGTATAACAGTTATAAGTTACAACTTTATGCTTACACAATTCCCATCAACATTTGTAACTGACGAATTTAAAGAATGGTAAGCATGTCACAAATGCATTTTTTTTATACTTATAGATCAGAAAAATGTTAGCTATTTTTTGTAGTCAAATCAAATGAAATGCAAGTCTTGGATCATCAATTGTTTTTCAAAATTAAGTTCAAACAGTGAACACACTACCTCCACACCATTGAGAGTAGATTTTCTGAACCATTCACTGAACATCTTGGCAGATGGAGTGAACGAATTTATTTACCTCACGCCTGAAACATACGTCATGCAATCATCTCTTCATTTAGGAATTTTATCATTTGATTTCTGTCATCACGGCAAGTGGGTTTTAAGCTTTAACGATGAACCATCTGTAATGGATTGCATCGAAACATTGAGGAAAAACGATATTAAAGTGACGGACATTCAGAAATTGTTATCAGAAAGAGTGCACTTGGAAGACACCATAATCAAAATGGTAACTGATGTAGGTTTTCCAAATTTTGTAGCTGAAGTGGAAAATGCCATGAAAAACAAAGATGTTTGATCATTGGAATTAATTTTAATCAAAAATAAGAGTAATAATTATAATAATAATATTAAAATTAATATATGTCTAAAATACTAAAAAGTAAGTATTATTTCATGTGTTAAGTACCTATTAAATATTATTAAAAAATAAAATCTTTATGTTAAAATCCACTAAAAATATAATATTAAAAAATTATAATAAATTACACAATATTTTTTTAATCTGTTTGCAACACAACTAGCTTCTTCGTTTGCAAAAAAAAAGGCTCATACACAAATTTTGATGTTTTCTTTTATAACATTAAAGCAAATATAAAAAAAAAAAAAACAAAGAAACAAATTGCATTACACGTTATGGGTTTTCAGTCTTGGTAGGAGTAGTGAAAGGATTTGGGCATACCGATTTGACCTATATCAGAGCACTTGTTAGAAAATAATACTATGTAAATGGAATTAAATTTTATTTGCGGGGTGAACGACTTGTGTTGAGCATTGGTAGATCTTCATCCTGCGAGTCCTCGTCCAGTCGATTGTTTCCATTACATTCTCCATTCGATGCACCATATGTTTCTTCTCTGGACGCTTTCATTTTCAATAACTGCAACCGTTTCATGAAACCGTCAGCTTCACTTGCAGCAGCAGACTCTGGTTTTCGTATGGGCATAGATGTAATTGGTTTTAGACTGTCATTATTTCCTGTACAATAAGAACAGGTGTAAACATAAAATGTAAATAAAACGTTAATTGTTCTAGAAAAAAAAATGTCAATAACTTTACCATTTGGTTCAACTAAACAACTTTTTAAATTGTCTTCAATTGCTGACAATTTACGGTGAATGTAATCTTGAAAATATTTTGTAGTCTTAGAAATATGTGGTTCTATGTCTATATTTGGATGCTTTATTTTGAATCTGTGCAACTGTTGTATGCCCTATAAAAAAAATACATATATTGTACTTAAAATATAGTGTTTCCAGACTTGTATAAAAAATATAGTTATTTTGTCACATTGTATTAATATTTTATTTTTGACATACTACATCGCATAATAAATTATTTCAACAACTAACCTCGTCGGTGTTTTCATGTTGACCTATTTGTTGGAATATGTCAGACAGTTCATCGTATGGTGTTCGATGTTTTCGTTTACTACTTTCGGGTCGAGGTTCGCTGTTCAAATGCTACGCACATATTAAATTGGGATTTATTAAATGTGGTATAATTAATAGTTATCATTATTCATTACCCTTAAAAGTTTATGTATGTAAACAACCATTTCTGAATCTTTTGGGAATTCTGGACTATCTAAACTTTCCAATACTTTATCACTGCGTATTTTTACCATAGTGTGAAGAACAGTTTTGCACGTTCTTAATGGAGTGTCAGACGGTTGTTTTTTCCAGTGTTTCGAATCAAACTCCTAATTAATGCATTCAAATTGCCACTCATGAAAAAATATGAAATAAAATATAATAAAATATATATAGCTGAATTACTTTTAAGAATCTGTGTATGTGTGCAAGGACCCGCTCGTAGCATAGTTCATCACCCCATTCTTGAAAATCTTTTACTATTTTCCATATACATTTCATTACTAATTCTTTATAATGTGTGGACGAGTTTTGAGGAGACTTAACTGTGTCATAGAGCATTGCCAACAGAGCACTATAAAATTATTATGTTTGTTTTAGTATGGTGTAAACATTGGTGTAGAGCAAATGCTTACCATGTGACTGGTGTATGAGCGGATCGTTCCAAAACATTCATAATGAGACTGTTCACACATCGGCCAAAAAGTTGAGTGTCTGTACTGTTCTCTGGTCCCTTCATACTTAATAGATATAACAGTTTTGAGAGTAAGTCACGCACAATTTGTTCATTCAGTATTAAGGTAAATTCTTGATATTTGTACAACTAAAATTATATATTTATCAATGAATTAAAGATAATTAGTAGATACACGACTACTCAATTGGAAAATAAACCAAGAACTGTTGGGTGGAAAATGAAACTTGAGTACCCGGTGATATTTCTCACATAATATGAAGGAGCATTTAAGCAATTTAATTAATTGGAGCTTATTGGATAGCATTTCAATTAATTTAGAGTCTAATATTAACTTAAAATAAACAATACTTACATTCAAACATAAATTAAATATATTCTTATATCCAACAGTGACGTCAATGTCATGAGATTCAGATAAGACATCAAACTGTTTGATGATTGCATAAAATAATGATAATACTTTGCCACCTTCTAAAAACTTAGATCTCATCTGCAACAAATAAAACAGATCAATAATAAGTACTACATTTGTGGGAACAATTAAATATGTTAAATAAATAATGTTCAAAATTGTCTTACATCGGGTCTCAAAAGCATTTTGTCAAGACTTGTTAGAGCAGTTTTTGAAGTCTCTATATTTTGTGATGTAACTTGATTTATTAATTGCTGAATAGGATCTGGCATGGACGTTGGTGGTGTTTTAGGACTTTTTGTAATAGTAGCAGTACTGTATGGACTCACATTTACACATGGTTTAGATGAAGACATGTTATCAGGTAAAGATCTAAAATTGAGAAAATATTTAAGTTTATTTTAGTGTGAATTCATAAAGAGTTACATACTGAGTATGGTCTTGAATTCTTTTTCTGAATTTCACTTCATCATGATCTGTATTCCAATTATATGATTTTAATTTTAATTCTGGTCTTGAAATCTCTTCAGCTTCTAGTTCTTTAATAAACTTTTCATCAAGGGCATAACGTGTCACTTGAGGTTCATCATAGACTTCACTTACAGGTCGTCTAATAAATACAAAATAATAATAAACTGATAAAGTTAAATATATTCTACATAAATGTAAACGTGTGAACTACTGGGAAGTTCTAAATACTGTATCTACCTAACTACTGAACATATTTACTATTTATAATCAAGACCATCCCAGAGGAGTGATGTAAAGGTGTCCAACCTCCCCCCCCCAATGTACGATATGTATATGTCAGTCGGAATAATTGCACATTAAATAGTAAATACTCAATTTATTGGCACTCGGAAAATTAACAATTTTTTTTCTTTTATTGTATAGTAAGATGTCCAGTTATTATTTTAAAAGTATGAATGAATTCATCATCCCCTTTACTAGGTTATGTAGGAAAAATAATTGATGTTTTAAAACTGAATGTAAGTGTATAAAGTAAAAACTACAACATATTTTTAAAGCCTTATTGAATACAAAAATCAAAAATCTGTTTCCTACATAACCTATAAAAGGAGATTATGAGTTCATACATATTTTTAAAATAATAATTTGACATTGGGAAGTACATAAACTAATCTTCTGCTTATTGGTCTAAAGCTCCAAAAAATACGGTGTGCTCCAACAGCCTTAAGCACAGATAATGTTATTATCTAAAAAAAATTATAATAGGTCAAATCACTCTAATATCAAAACGAACAGCACACTATTAAAACTAGTGAACGAAAATTTGCTATGTCGTAAGTGTGTAAGACAGAAACAACAAATGCATGGGTAGCATCCTCTTAATAAAAAAAAAAAACTAAAAACATTGAAATGTAAGTTAATAGCTCAAAACAAGTCTATTATTTTTAAAATTTTATCAAGTTAAGGAATTGATAAAATAAACATACGGTGTAAATTTCAAGCACGGTAAATTATAGAGGTATTCGCACGAATAACAAAATCATGTCCCGAGAAATATGTAGTAAGAGGGTTCTCACCACTAGATTGCGTAACAATCTTTTGACCCTAACTAAAATTTTTTACATTCTTATAAACCACCTTAGACCGCACACATTGAAGAAAAAAAAAAAATGCTTAAAAATCAAAAAGTTGCTAAAACAGAATCATTCCAAATGGCAAATATACTATTCTAAAAAGAGTGTCATCATCATAACCCTAACATAATATACCTTATTATAATATTGTAGTGACAGTCATACATAGTGAGATATATATTATGTAGTATAATGTAATAATATATGTAATAATATAAAAAAAAGAACCCAAATTATGTGTTACTAAGTTTTTAAATACTTTTAAATTATAGAAATATATTTTAAATTAGGTAATAAAAAAGTTACATTTTATTTTAATTAATCTAACCTGTAACATTGCCCATTGATTTTTATAATATTAACTTAATTTATTAATGTTTACATTTTACCTAGCATAACGTCAAATTTATAATATAGTAATACATGTCTTCATTTTCATTTATTTATGTGCAATTAATTTTGTTTTTGATCTTTGATGAGACTTTTTGTTCGTTTATTGTATGAAATCTGTATTGCAAGTGTGAAAATTAGGGCCAAATTACTGCAGAGCGATCTAGCGGTAAACATGCGAATAAAACATATTCACTGGGACAATTGTTTTCATTATGAATATACGACCGTGCGTATACCTCTATAATCTACCGCGATTTCAAGTATCTACAGTCATTCGTTTTTGAATTTTATTACAACAAAATAAGAAAATCGCTACATAAGAATCCGAGGGAATAACCAATGTTGTAAAAATGTGAATTTCAAATACTCATAAAAATATTATTTGTTTTTCAGGTAGACATTTTGTTTTTTGATAAAGGTAGACAAACTTATGAGGAATCTTATATTAAATTTAAAAAGAAAAATTTTTATGTATTTCAAACTCAAAATAATTTTTTGAGATTTTGAAGTATTTTGTCAAAGTATGAACTTTAAAAATATAATTGGAAACTGAAAATATCCGTTAACCATTCAAAACAAGTAAAAATGTTTTTAATATGTTATGGTGTATAGAAAATGCTAATACAAACATTCAGTAAACATTTCTAATAATCTACAGTCATTTGTTTTAAAATTACACTAAAAACCAAAATCGATTTTGTGTATAAATTCTCATAATTTTTTTTTCTGGTTTTTGAAAACTACTCAGAATTTTTTATTTTTGAGCCCCTATAGTAACAACTATATTTATTCCATCGAACAACATACTGAAGTTGAAAA